ATGAGCATCTTGTTGCAGTTTTGATCGGAGCACCTTGCTGAACTCCAGCATTGGCCTGTTCAACGTGAGTATTAGCAGATTGTCTCTGCGGACACGAGATAGCCCAGGATGATCCATTTCGAAAGGAGACACTGCCCAGAATGTGCTTCAGACAAGGTTCCCATAGGCGGCCCCATGGTGGCCTGGCCAGTTTCTACATTATTAGCCACAAAGTCCAACCTCCTGGCATTTAGTGAGCACCTACTGTATACCGAACGCAGCTGAGACCACACACATATACTCACAGACATGCGGATACACTCACTTTCCTTCTATGAAGTGTTATCTTCTATTCACAATCTCATTTTGTGCATGTAGAGTGAAGTTTTGACTCAAAATTAGAAAACAAATATCTTCTATTCACAATCTCATTTTGTGCATGTAGACTCATCTCAGTGACTGACCCTTCACAGCCCCTTCCCTCTGGCCCTCAGTTCCCCCATCTGAATCAGATTAAACAGAGATCTCAAGGTGGCTAAATCCTGTCTTCTGCCATGGAGTGGTCGTTTTTTTGTTTGTTTGTTTTGTTTGTTTGTTTTGTCCTTATGTTTTTGTCTTGTTTTGTCTCGAATATATATATATTTTTTGACTAATATTTTTAAATGGGGAGGTTTAATGAAAATCAGGACTTCTGGCTTCCCTTGAAAAGTTAAAACCTCAGGAAACAGAGGGCAAAATTCCTTCAGGGCATATGTTGATGGAACAGACCAGTAGAGTGGGGGTAGGGGGCAGGAGATGCATCCTTCTAACACACCCCAATCACCCCACCTGCTGGGCCCCAGGGCCAGCTGGGTTTGTGCCACTCCCAGGAGCTCTTGCAGCTTTGACTGGCAGGGGACTTGGGATTCCAGCATCTCTACCAGCTGTCCTCACCATGTGGCTGGGCTGTACCCATCCTAGGAGTGGCTGGGAGGACTTCGGATTCTCAGCCAAAGTAACGATGTCCCTTCTTTCTCACAGCCTGAACTTCTGAAAGACATCACCACTGAGATCCTCATCTCTCTCCTGATACCAAATGAGAATGGTGTGTCCCTTTGTCATCCATCTTCCCACTCCCCAGGACTTTGAGGATGGGTGCTTTACCTGAGTTTCCATTTCGGGGCCCCTTTCATTCATTTCCCACCCATCCTCAGAGCCTAGTTCAAATTCCACCTCCTCCAGGAAGACTTCCTGGTCACCCAGCTGGAAATGAGCTCTCCCATCTCCAACTTCTCAGCCCAATTTCTTTACTGGTGCCAGAGCCTAGGCACGCAAAGATGAACCAGGCAATGTCCAGCCTCACAGGGCTGACACCAGGAGAGAAACAGAGGTGTAAACAGACAACAAGAGCACCCTCGATGTGCTTCAGATGGACCTGGGTTCAAGTCCTGATTCCCCTTCTTGCTCACTGCCTGGCCTTAGATAAGCTGCCTTATCATCCTGAGCCTCAGTTTCTCCATCTATAGAATGGGAAAGTAAGAGCAACTTCCTCAGAAGCATAATAGAGATGATGTTTATAAAGGGCAGAAAGTGGGTGCCTGGCATAGTCAGTGCTCAACATTTCTTAGCCATTGCTGTTGGTGGTGGTTATTTGTGTTAGTACTAAAGGAAGCTGAGAGAAAAGGTGGAATTATTCTAATTAAGATCCAGGTCATGGGGGTGCCAGCCCCACCTTTTTCATTTCTTTATTTTATTAGAGGAGAAATCTCAAAGTACAGACACTTCTGCTGTAGATGATGGTTCTTGAGCAGGAGTGTAAGAGGATGTGAGGGGTGCCCTTTGGAGCAGCCAGAAACCTGTGCTGGAGGCAAAGGTTGAGGAGATGAGGCTGGGTGGGTGCTCAGCCAGAGAACAGATAAGCAGAGGCAAAAGGGATAGTCTGAATTGGGTGTGCAAGGTCCTGTGTTCTCCTCTGGGAACTATGAGCCTGCCCACAGCTGCCCAGCCCCACCACAGACCCACCAGTCTCTGACCACATTTGTTATTCCAGGCAAATTAAGATCCGGGATCCCAATATCGATGATAAAGGCCTTGGGATTTGAGGCAGCTTCATGGTCTGTGACCAGGGTGAGTGGGGTTAAACATCCTGCCCTAGGGAGGTCACAGTCACGGGGAGAGCTCTGGGCTAGGAGGTGGGGATTATGTTCCCATCCTGGCCCCTCCGGTCACTCATGGGGGACCTTGGGGTAAGTCCTTCTTCTCTCAGGGTATCAGTTTCTCATCTGTAAGTGGGAGAGTGCAACTGACTTTGCCTGGGGTCAATACGCCTCCAGCTTTTTCCCCCATCTGTCATTCATTCATTCAATTTTTTATTCTTTCATTCAGTAAAGCCGAGCATATAGTAGATGCTCAATAAATGCTATTGAGAAAATGATTTTTCTTGGTAACTTCTGGGGAGGGGAGCTATAGCAGAATCACCCCTATTTGCAAATATAATCATTAATAATATTTGACAATCTATAATCATTTAGGCACTGGGGTATAAGTAGCATCTTTCTCGGTCTTCACACCAAATGAGTTCAGGATCATGACCCCCAATGCCAGTAGTCACCTTAAAGAGGACAAACCAGCATAAAGAACAGCAAAGCAGGAGGTAAAAAACCTGTTTGACTTTTCTCCTCCAATTCCAGGATGCTCTTGTGATCACCCCGGCCTCCTCATAGAACCCCAGACCTCTCTCCTCTCCCAGTGAGGACTTGGACAGTGGCCATCCAGGTCATGCTGGGTCCCAGTGGGAATGTAGGAACCAGCTGTGTAGGTGTCCCTCTCTACAATAAATACTTGTCTGTGACTTCTGCAGTCTGGAGTGTATCTTTATCCCAATTCAGGAGTCATTGTACCCCCTGGAAGGCTTGGGGGCTGGACACCCAAGCCACATCTGGGTCATGTTCAGGCCCTTCTGAGCCAATCCGGGCCAAGTTCAGACTATGTTTGGGCCACAGCAGAGCACACATGGACAACATCCAGGGTCTTGGCCACCTCCCTGGGCTTCAGGAATAAAAAAGCCAGTTGTGCCCCCCTGCTTTCTGTGTTGTTCTTAAGACCCCCACTTATGGTCGGACAACCTCTTTGGCGGAAGACTCACGCTTTGCTGATCTTGGCAGTGTGGTGGGTGGAGGGATCTCTGAACGGTGTGCACTGGAGGCAGGCTTTGAGTTCTGGCCTGTCCCCCCTCAATGGTTGTTAGACCCTGGGATGTGGCTTCCCCTCAGTGGGCCTCAGTTTCCTTCTCTATAAAATGGGGAGAATCACAATCCCCACCTTGTTGCGCTGTAGTGAAGATGAAATGAGAGAGAATGGTTCTTGGCACATGGGAGGTACTCAAACAGTGTCGCTTGTAGGTGATGTCATCATCATTGTTCTTACCTGGCCTCCAGGATGTTGGGCCTTATCACTGAAAGCCCTTCCTGCTTGGACATCACCATGATTGCCATTGTCTCCCTGGCCTCCCTGATGCCAGCAGGTTCAGAACAAACAATAGGGCCCATGTTCTCCAGACTCTAGATCTGGCCCAGCACATAGAGCCCTTCAGTTACACGAGGGGTCTTGCAGGAAGAGACAGCTGGGCATTTTGGGGAAAGGGCCTAAACAGGCATAAGAACAGCTCACAACCTGGAAAGGCAGCCTGGAAGGAACTTCTATCTACAAGACACAGGCTAAGCCAAGAGGGACACAGAGGCGCCAAAACAAGACCCGGCACAAGGCAGTTACACCAGGGTCAGCTAACACTTACCAGGCAGTTGCTGAGCTCTAGGCCCTATGCTGCTTCTCCCCTGACTCCCAGCTACACTTGGTGGTCTGCATCCCCACACATCACATTGCATTATTTTCCTAGATCATATTAAATCTGGGTGTGAACTCCCACTCACAAGAGAGATGAGAAAGCTGATCTCCATCTTGTCTGGGGTAGGTGTCTTCTGGCTCCCTAGGGTGTTACAAGGATCTGTTGGGAGGTTTCTGAGGAGCTTGGAGGGTGGGGCAGAGCCTGTGGTTTGGGTCCCATCTGGTGCTGATGAAGGGATCTCTGTCCCAGCCCACATGATCCTGTCAGAAATGAGTGGCTCCCACACCCGGACAAGTCGGAGCACTTCTTCCAAACAGCCATGGCCGTGGCCCCCAGGTTTCAACTACTCACAACCTCTGGGGCTTCCTGGAGGTTAGCAGATAAATAACTCCTCTTCCTTACACCATGGAGGCAGGGAACAACTCCATGCTGGCTCCCACAACACCCCTGTGAGACTGAGCCCCACGTGCCCCCACAGTCACTTGCTTGATAACATACCTGTATAGGCTGTCACCTTCTCTCACTTTCCCCCTCCCTTACCAGTGTCTCCTGGGATCACCTCCCAAAACAGCTACCTGCACTCAAATCCTTCTGGGGAACCCAAATCAAGACAAGCACTCGCTCTGCAGGTACCATGCTCCGGGTCTTATGGACCTTCACTCATCCAGCCTTCCCCACAGCCTATGGCATCCCCACTTGACAAATGAGGAAACTGAGGCTCTGACAACACGATGACCAAGCAGCCCCTAACCATTACCCTACATTGCCTTCTCCCACTCTCTGCAACTTCATCATTCCCCCTTGGGTCTCCACCTCCCATAACAGAGAGGGTGTCTTCTGTGCCAGCATCTTTCCATTTGAGCCCTGAAACACAACTGTCACTTATGTACCCCTGAACCAGGAGCCCCCCAACCTAGAACTCCCAGACCCCACCACATTCCTGGGCTTCTCTCTGAGTCTTATCAGTCGCAGCAAATAAAAAACACCAAATGATATCTCAGTAACCCACCTTGCCTATCAGGAATTGCTATTGTCTTTATCTTACAGATGACAGATCAAGTAACACACAGCTGGTGAAATGAGAGAGGGAACACAAGCCTCGCCCACTTGCCCCAGCTTCCCACCTGACTCCACAGCAGGACAAAGACCCAGTTTTTATTTCCCAAAATAACAGGGAGAACGAACAGCTGCTATTCCCTGAGGGCTACTCATTTCCCAGCACGGTGCTATGCACTGTGGGATTAACATTCCCATTTCACAGAAAAAATCAACTGAGGTTCAGAGGGAGGCAGTACCAGGTCTTGTACTTATCTCTCTGTGTCCTTCCCAGGACTTCCCTTTCATGGAAGAGACTCCCTAGGAAATCTCTCAGCAGGGATTATTAGTCAATGAGGTAAACAGATGAAATCCATGGGGCTCCAGCCAAATTCTTCCCTCCCGTCCCATTTAGAGAGACAAGATTTGGGAAAGAAAGGGAGATCTCTGAGCTTCCATCAACATCCCCACCAGTCCCTAGTGACTCAAATGTGGAAATTAGCCCCAGAGCCTTTCTCTGCCCTAGGCAGAAGGAGAATAGCATTTGGCAGTAATATTGGGCCCAATCAACAGAAATGAGGGGGATCTGCCAACTTTTAAAGTATCTTCCAACCAAAAATGACTGAGATTCTAGAATAAGTACATCCCATCCAAAATATGCTACTGAATCATACTTACATCAGCCATTTGCTTTTGACATTAGCCAAAAACTTCAGAACTAGCTAACACTGACCTTGCATTTCCCACCCACGTGATCCTGTCAGAAGCGAGCTGAACACACTCTTCCACTATCAGCCCCTTTGCCTGGTGTGTCCAGCTGAAGAATGGAGTTTAAAACCTACCCTGACTATATCTCTGAGTTGTGAAAGGGAAAGGAATTAATTACAGGAAGAATCCTGTGGAAAATCTAAAAGCCACCTAGAGATAAAGACACTTGCCATCAGAATAACCACACTGGGTAACAGTTAACAAAGGACTCCATGCTGATACAGCCAGCTGTGCACATTCACAGTAGTGGTGCCAGGATTCTCAGGCAAGAGGACCTTTGCACAGCAGTTTGGACTGAGGACTCTGGGTTTTGGAGCTGGGTTGCATAGTAACACTAAACTTCTCTTTCACGTGGTAGCCAGTTCCCTTTCTGGGCACTGATTTCAAATCCAGTTTTGCTCCGGACATGCTGTGTGATCTTGAGCAAATCACTTAACCTTTCTGAGTCTCAGTTTCCACATCTATAACATGAAAATTAAAATAAGTAACTTCTTTTGAACCCTTCCTATGTGCCAGGCCCTGTGCTGATATCTATACAAGTTACCTCAATGATCTTCACAATGTCCAAAAGATATATGTAGATTTATTATTCCCATTTTGCAGACAGGAAAATTGAGGCTCAAAAGGGAAAGTAACTTGCCCACAGTTACACAGTTACTGAGTGATGGTGGAGATTTGAACCCAGGCCTGTCTGGCTACAGAGGCACAGCATGGATGACATATATAGAAAAGGCACAGGGAATGACCACAAGGTGGTCACTGGACTCCATCCAGCCCTGCCTCTATCTCTCACCTGCTCTCCCCCTCACACATCCCAATACACACCCTTATTCCCTTGGGTTCTATGACTGGCACATCTTGTTTTAGGAGCCTCCGTAGGCTCCTCCCAAGAGCTAGAGGCCCTGCTCCAGGCTCTATAGCTCTGATGTTGTTCCTAAGGGAAAAGGCCCACCCCCAAAACTGAAGGGGCTCCCCACTTCCTCTTTGGGGTATGTTGGCCTGGGCCCAGAGCTTGCCCCATGGAGCCTCAGCAACAGGCCCTATCAGTTTTGGCCAGAAGCCCCTGTGCCAAGAGGACCCTCCCTCCACTGACAAGATCCTCTGAGCACAGCCCCAGCCAAGGAGGACTTCCTGCCATGTACCCTCCCACCTGGGCTACAGAGCTCAGGTTACGAAAGTTCTGTCACTCTTAGAAGCTGGAGAAGGAAACCAGGGGAAGATTCCAGAGAGCCCTATTCTTAGAGAGGTAAGGACAAGGAGGCTAACGAGGGCATCTCCCAAATGTTTTTTGAGTGCCTACAATAATATGGTGAAGTGGTGCATAGATTCTTAGTGCCAGGCCAATCTGGGTTGAAATCCAGGCTTGCTACCTACTACCTGTATGACCTTGGGCAATCCATTTCTCTTCTCTAAGCTTCATCTGTAAAATGGGCCTGCTATCAATGATCCCAGACCACTGTGGTGAAGACTCAACGATGTGGTAAAGCTTATAAAGCTCTTGGTGTGGTGTCTGCCACATAGTAAGGACTCAAGAAGTCAGAGCTGGTATGGATGATTTAAGGCAAGAGATGGAGAGGATGGGAAGATGGTGTGAAGGACTAAGGGCAGGAAGGGAGGAGAGTCCTGACTTAGGTGAACTGATTGAGAAACATGCTCGATATAGGGACTGACTCAACACTGGTTGGATGAATGGCAGATGAATTTTAAATCAGCCTGGAAACAAAATATGAATAGCTAATGCCATGAGTACAAATTTCCCAGTCCAAAATCTGCATATGCAAACAAAACTTTCTTACCCAATTGAATCACTGTTTTGAGCTCCTGTGCCACCAAGCAGCAAAACAACTGAATGTTGCTGATTCAGGCAATGCCAGGATTTTCTCAGGCACTCCAGAGTAGGCTCAGCCACTTTGGGGGTCTCCTGTCCTTGCTCAGAGGAAGCATTTACTGTCTAGGTGGCTTCTTCATGGGTGTGGCATAGGGGGCACAGTGGTGGGTCCTTAGTGGGCCCTGCTAACACTAGCATATACCTTGGAGATGTCTGTATCCCAGCTGGTCCCTGCCCTGCAGTTACAG